TTCTCTTTAAAATGTTTATTTACTATCCTAATGTGTCTGCCACTTATCCTGTTGTTCCTCCAGGCTGGAAAAACCAGGCATTCTTCTGTTGGTTCATGTGATTCGTCCTACACCCAAAGGCCACAAGAAGAATCCAAAACAGCTCATGTCAAACTGTGGACCATGTTTTCAGATATGTACAGGTATGCTTTGTAGAAGCACTTTCTCATTGGCTTTGTTTGCTGTCTGAATGTAGCTGTTCTGCTAAATATATTTAATAATTTTTATTATTCGTCTTCTTATCATTATGTCAAAGATGCAAGCCAGTCTTGAAGCCTTCCTCATTGCCGTGCAACCAGGACAGCCCGTCCTCCTGCAGGTGAAAACAAGAGCAGCACCAAAGACACTTCACCATCAGTGATCACAAGACCATCCATGGCTGCTTCCAATGAACTTTCAAAGCACACTTCACCTTCAGTGCAAAGTACCATGAATTCTTCTATAACTTCTGTACATTAATCCAGCCTACAGTTTTCAACATTGATGTGACTTGCACGACAATTGAAAAGTTTAAGATCCTTGCTTTTACTTTACCTGCAGAATGGACATTCTTTACTATAATGATCATTTAAATGCATACTCTGTCAATAAGAGGATTTGTTTTATGTTCTTCCAATTAAGGACTTGGTTTATTACAGTCCCTGTGGCAAGCAGTTTTCTGCATGGTCAGCATTGATGGCCATATTCTTTGAGAGGGTCCAGCCAACATTCCAGACAGGACAGTGTTGTCCATCTTCTTCATCTTCAGCCTCCAATGAGGCAGCCAAGACTTTGGTTCATTCAACGGTAAAACCATTCCTGTATTTTTTTTTTACAATGACATGGTTTTAAAGCTCTAAAGCAAGTTATGATTAACATTTGACAAAGGTGGTGATGTTTTCTCTTTATGTAATTAAAAACAGCTTTATTTATATATTGTACCAGCTGTATTCAAAATGCCACACTATTTGTATTCTCAGGAATTTTCCCATTTTTGATTTTGTTTTTTAGTCGCTTCATTGGGATTAACCCAGAAAGGGGCACAAAAGCCGGTCATGGGAAGATGGTATCCAAAAAGACAGGAAAGACCATTCAAAAGAAAAAGTGACGGTCAATGTTCAGGTTTCCACCCTCATCAAAAACCTGATGGACTTTGAGTGGCATCTCATTCAGGTTAGTTGTTCTTTTCTTTTCTTTGAAATCTTTCTGTTTCCATATTATTTAGGATCTAAATTGTATTGTCTTTTTCCATGTTGGACGGTGCCTTCATCTGCATCTAATAAAGTAAGTGCCACTTGGACTCTTGAAAACCATTAATAGTTCACATTTTAAAACCCTGTTAGAATTCCACATTATTTCAGCCATGTTGAATTTTAGGTTTTGGAAGTAATTTTTCTTTGATTTGTTTAGTGATAACCAAAGCATGGATATTTCTTTAAGAACTGTGTTTTTATGTTCATAAGATTGTAGAAATTAATGAGTTAAACCCAGTTTATGTCACTGTAAACTGAAAGTCTTCAATTTTTATTCCAGTGTTGGTGAAACTATATATTGACTTTGAAGGCCTATTTTATACCAGTTCTCTGAGGAATGGTTATGTGTCACTCATTTTGAATGTTTGAATATACTGGAAATATATGTGGTTTGGTGCCTTTAAATATTCTGTTCTGACGGTTACTTATCACATCCTCTTCTGTGTTATGTGAAGTTCTGATTATGCATTTTAGAACCGCATCAATTGTAGCACTTCTAAGAAGCTTACACTGGGTTAGGTATTAATGTCCTATCGTAAAACTAAGACTGTACTAATATGTTTTTAGACTTAACTTTAATCAGTCAAACCGATTTGCTCAGGAATATATTAAATATTTGAGTGAACCAAAATATTACAACTAGATGTTACCTGACTTAATATCTGTGTTTAACTGTCATTTGGGAAAGCCCAAATGAGTCAGGTGTTCTAAACCTGGACCAGCTGGCAGCAGGCGAGGGGAGCTGGGTGTTAATACAGCAGGAGCAGACGTTTCCGAAAACGTCGGACAGATATTGCAATTAGGTGATGCACTGATGAACCGAGCAGAAATGTGAGATTTATACATCTACAAACATTGTTTAAATCATGTTGTGTCACGGCTGCTAAGCAACATAACCCGAGGTGGAGGCTAGGCAGCTAGCTGAAGGATACAGCTTCTCTCTGCAATGCTCTCTGCCTTCACAGGACCCCTCTTCTGTAGACCGGGTCGTTTCTCAAGCCCAAGACAGAATAAGCTTGAAAGGATGAAAGACCCTGAACTCGGACACAAAGCTCTAGTGGTCTGGAACACTTATTTTTGTATATTTTTTGCATCTCTTTTTTTGTTTGCATCTTTTCTTTGTTTTTCTCGTTTGCTGCGCGTTTGCACCTGTCGGCCACCGTAGTATTTTAACGATTCTGTATTTTACTTCTGCTGGGCTCCATATGGTTATGTGTATTTGTTATAAGTTGCATTGTGATCACTGTTATGTGTAGAGTGTTATGGGGTTCCCCTGTCTGACTGCTGACTCCCACTCACATGTGATGGACCTGTCATTTGGGTGAGGGATCAGGGGAGCGGGAGGACCCGGACCAATGCTGACAGAACACCGGAAGAGCGGAGAGTTCAGTGTGTTTTTAGCAGTGAAGCTATTCAGTTGAGTGTAACGGTTTGTTAGAGACGCAGCTGCTCGCTCTTATTTCTAATAAACCCTGTTGGCGGTACTACGTCTGCGGTGTGTTGGCGTCATTACAGTATTTACTTGCAGTACACCACCACTTTAAAAGATAATTACAGGATTGAAAAGGTAAATGTCCAGTAAAATACTGGTATCTACAGACGCCAGCTTTTTTTTTTTATACCGTTTTTCTGAAAGAACGGTAAAAAAAAAAACCTGGCATCTGTAGCTACCAGTATTTTTTTATCGTTCTTTCAGAAAAACGGTAGATTACCGTTCTTTTGAAAGAACGGTAAAGTACTGGCAGCTATAGATGCCAGTATTTTACCGTTCTGTGAAAGAACGGTAAAATACCGTCAGGTTTAATTATGGTACAGCTACTGTGGATTTACAGTAAACTTCTGGCGTCTATAGCTGCCAGTATTTGACTGTAAAT